ATGCAGGGTTATTGATATGGGAGTTTGGGGAGGGGTGAGAATGAACATAGAACAAAGAACATAGAACTGTACAGGTCAGGAATGGGCCGTTCAGTCCATGATGTTATGCCAAACATGACGTCAAATTAAACTGATCTATTCTGCCTGCCTTTGGTCTATATTCCACAATTCGTTGCATATTCATGTGCTTATCTAAAAGTCCCTTAAACGCCCTGATCGTATCTACCTCCATCACCACCCCTGGCAGCGCATTCCAGATCCCTACCACTCTCTGTAAAAAAAACAAGCCTCACACATCTCCTTTGAACTTTTCCTCTCTCACCTTAAATGTATGCCCCCTAGTATTAGATATTTCAACTCTGGGAAAAATTCTGACCGTCAACCCTATCTATGCATTTCATAATTTTATAGACTTCTATCTAAGTCTCCCCTCAGCCTCTGCCACTCAAGAGTAAATAACACGAGTTTTTCTAGCCTCTCCTTATAGCTTATACCTCCTAATCCAGGCAGCATCCTGGTAAACCTCTTCTGCACCCCCTCCAATGCCTCCACATCCTTCCTGTAATGCAGCCACTAGAACTGAATGCAATACTCTAAGTGTGGCCTAACCAATGTCTTATAAAGCTACAAAATTATTGTACGCAATTCCCAAACCAATAAAGGTGAGCATGCCATATGCCTTCTTTACCATGTGTTCTACTTGTGTGGCCACTTTCAGGGAGCTATGGGCTTGAACCCCAAGATCATTTTGTACATCAATGCTGTTCAGGGTCCTGCCATGAAGAACAGTACAGCACAGTACAGGCCCTTCGGCCCACGATGACTGTGTATTTTTCCTTTGATCTCCCAAAGTGCTGCACCTCACACTTACCCGGATTAAACTTCCATCTGTCATTTCTCTGCATATATGTATGATCGATCTATAGCCTGCTGTATCCTTTGACAACCTCCTACACTATCCATAACTCCACCAATCTATGTATCGTCTGCAAACTTACTAACTCATCCATCTACATTTTCATCGAAGTTATTTATATAATATATATATAACATATATAATCACAAACAGCTGAGGTCCCAGCATGGATCCCTGCGGAACATCGCTAGTCACAGAATTCCAGCTAAAAAAAGCCTTTCCACCACTATCCTCTGCCTTGAGTAAGATAAGATGTTGCAGATAAAGCATCAGATAAATATAGAAAGTACAAGCAGCTGTAGGCTATTTAACTCTTCAAGACTGCTCCATTGTTCAATGTGATTATGGTTCATCATCCAACTCAGTCGCTGTTTCCACTTTTTATCCATATCCGTGGCAGAGATTTCCATAGGCTCACTACTCTCTGGTGAAGAAATTTCTCTTCATCTCAGTCGCAAATGGCCTACCCAATATCTTTAGTCTGTGACCTCTGATTCTGGACTCTTCGGTCATTGGGTAATCCTTCCTGTGTTAGTAAGAATGGAAGGGCATGACCCTTGGTGGGAGGTGGGTGCAGTAGCAGATAGAGTGATTGTTAGGTGGCAGAGGGAAGACAGTGACACTTAGTGCGCCACTGTGGAAAAGATAATTGACCTTTTTACAGCACCAACCTCAGACCAGGCTCCCAGGGTCTGGTAGCACAGCATTCTCTACTGGTTCTCCAAGAATAGGACTCCTCTCCTTTGCACTTCCCCCTCAGCCATGATCTCCAGGCCCCTGTCAGAGAATTGAAGTACCATTTTCCCCTTCTCCAAAATGTTCACAATCTGTCCTTGAGCAAGCAGTGTACCTGTAGATTGCCAGTGGTCATTTAGGTACATAGCAGCCTTCTGAAGATGCAATAGGTACAATAGATGCCACTCTTTTGGTGGATATAAAATACAGATGGAGCGTGAGAAGGTTAAATCCAGTACCAATGTCCTGTGCTTAAACAAAGGAGACTATGAAGGAATGAGGGAGGAGTTAGCTAAGGTAGAATGGGAGCAAAAACTTTATGGTGGGTCAATTGAGGAACAGTGGAGGACTTTCAAAACGATTTTTCACAGGGATCAGCAGAAGTATATTCCAGTGATAAGGAAGAAGTGTAGGAAAAGAGAGAGCCAGCCATGGACGTCTAAGGAAATAAAGGAAAGTATCAGATTGAAAAAAAACATATATAAAAAAGCAAAGAGTAGTGGGAAACTAGTAGACTGGGAAATCTTTAAAGGCCAACAGAAAGCCACAAAAAAAGTTATAAAGAAAAGTAAGATAGATTATGAGAGTAAACTAGCTCAGAATATAAAAACAGGCAGCAAAAGTTTCTATAAATATGTAAATCGTAAAAGAGTGGCGAAGGTAAACATTGGTCCTTTAGAGGACGAGAAGGCCAATTTAATAACTGGGAATGAGGAAATAGCCGAGACATTAAACAGTTATTTCGTGTCGGTCTTCACTGTGGAAGACACAAATAACATGCCGAAAACTAATGGCAAGGTTATAGCAGGTGAGGACCTGGAAACTATCATCATCACTAAGGAGGTAGTGCTGGGCAAGCTAATGGGGCTAAAGGTAGACAAGTCTCCTGGCCCTGATGAAATGCATCCCAGGGTACTAAAAGAGGTGACGGGGGAAATAGCAAATGCACTCGTAATTATTTACCAAAATTCACTGGACTCTGGGGTGGTTCCCGCAGATTGGAAAAGAGCCAATGTGACGCCACTGTTTAAAAAAGGAAGTAGACAAAAAGCAGGTAACTATAGGCCAGTTAGCTTAACTTCGGTAGTGGGGAAAATGCTTGAATCTATCATTAAGGAAGAAATAGCAAGACATCTGGATATAAATTGTCCCATTGGGAATACCCGGCATGGGTTCATGAAGGGTAAGTCATGCTTAACTAATTTGGTGGAATTCTTTGAGGACATTACTTGCATGGTGGACAATGGGGAACCTGTGGATGTGGTGTATCTGGATTTCCAGAAGGCATTTGACAAGGTGCCACACCAAAGGCTGCTACATAAGATAAAGTTGCACGGTATTATAGGTAATGTATTGGCATGGATAGAGGATTGGTTGACCAGTAGAAAGCAAAGAGTAGGGGTAAATGGGTGTTTTTCTGGTTGGCGGTCAGTGGCTAGTGGTGTGCCTCAGGGATCAGTGTTGGGACCGCAATTGTTTACAATTTACATAGATGATTTGGAGTTGGGGACTAAGTGTGGTATGTCAAAATTTGCAGATGACACTAAGATGAGTGGTAGAGCAAAGTGTGCAGAAGACACTGAAAGTCTGCAGAGAGATATAGATAGTCTAAGTGAGTGGGCAAAGGTCTGGCAAATGGAGTACAATGTTGATAAGTGTGAGGTCATCCATTTTGGTAGGAATAACAGCAAAATGGACTATGTTTTAAATGGTAAAAAATTGCAGCACGCTGCTGTGCAGAGATACTTGGGTGTCCTTGTGCATGAATCGCTAAAAGTAGGATTGCAGGTGCAGCAGGTAATTAAAAAGGCAAATGGAATTTTGTCTGCCATTGCTAGAGGGATGGAGTTTAAAAACAGGGAGGCTATGCTGCAGCTGTATAGGGTCCTGGTGAGGCCACACCTGGAGTACTGTGTGCAGTTTTGGTCTCCTTACTTGAGAAGAGACATACTAGCACTGGAGGGGGTGCAGAGGAGATTCACTCGGTTGATTCCAGAGCTGACAGGGTTGGATTATGAGGAGAGACTAAGTAGACTGGGATTACACTCATTGGAATTCAGAAGAATCTTATAGAAACATATAAGATTATGAAGGGAATAGATAAGGTGGAGGCAGGGAGGTTGTTTCCGCTAACAGGTAAAACTAGGACTAGGGGGCATTGCCTCAAAATAAAGGGAAGCAGATGTAGGACTGAGGTCAGGAGGAACTTCTTCACCCAAAGGGTTGTGAATCTGTGGAATTCCCTGCCCAGTGAAGCGGTTGAAGCTACCTCGCTGAATGTTTTTAAGGCAAGGCTAGATAAATTTTTGAACAGTAAAGGAATTAAGGGTTATGGTGAGTGGGCGGGTAAGTGGAGCCGAGTCTCAAAAAGATCAGCCATAATCTTATTAAATGGCGGGGCAGGTTCGAGGGGCCAGACGGCCTACTCCTGCTCCTAGTTCTTATGTTCTTATGTTCTTACATCCACTGAGTGGTGAGTTGTTTTTACTCACTTTTCCGGTTTAGATACTGACAGAACTGGTTTCTATCCATTTTTACAGTCCTAATAGCATCCTTTTAGATTCTAATTTCTTCTTTCTGATTAACGTTTTCGGTTACTCTCTACTGATGCTTTCCTAACTTCTTTTGGAAATCACAAATGGTGGATCCTCCCCCTAGATTTTTTAAAAATTGGAAATAGATATTTTGAGTGCTTTGAAATATCCCTTAAATATCTACAACTATGTCTCTATTGATCTGTCTCATAGGCTAGTAAGTCAATTTACTTCTGCTAGTCTGCTCAACTCTTGAACTAAGGTCATCTCTAACTATTGCACAAATGTCACCCTTAATTGGGAATGAATGCCTAACTAGCCAGCGATGCCCATATTCCCATGAATGAATAAAAACACCCAGTCCTGTCTTCAGCCTTGTAAATGGGAGACAGGAGGAAAATTATGCACTGCAGAATTCCTAGTCTTTAACAATGCAGTTCATTTCTAAGAGCCTTTTACAGCCAAAGGAACAGGTGAGTTACATCCATCACCTTGAAATGAACTCAAAGACTGTTCCCAGTGACAAACGGTCAGTATATTAACCAAGTGTATTCCTGCCCTGACGGAAAAACACAATTTAAGTCATTCTCTGCAGCCTGTGGTGACCTCATGTACATAGATCCTAATGTAACCAAACAAGACAATGTCTGGAGATCTACAGTTACTTACATTCCTCTGTAGATACAGTCCACTGAAAAGTGTTCATCAAACCTTATAGCTTGCCTTTTATTTCCCGAAACCTTTTAGCACAGATATCCTTCTAATAGAACTGCTGTATTAGTAGCTTTAAATACACAGAAGTAAATCAGTTTTACCTTGGGACTCACTCAGGTGACGTTGCGTAAAGAGAAATACAAGGACAAAATAAATCTTCATGTCACTGTGGACACCCAGTGGATTCATTGCAAGATCAAAAATCACATCAACAGTAATCTCGAGGAACAGGCACAGACTGCAGAGATGGTATCCTGTCAGAGACGACTCGTCACAATCCCAATCACTTTTTTTAACAATTCTTTTGGAGCTGACAATGAACACACTGTAACTCAGAGGGAGAGTCTGCAGACAGCACCAGAACCTGAAGAGAGAAGCAAGTGGATTATTCATAGACAGTACCAAGTGAGAGAGTAAGAGCCTATCTAACATTCACATAGCACAGAAAGAAAAAGAATTAGAGAATTTATATCCGCCCTTGTCCCGTAGCCTTGATTGTTATGATATTTCAAGTGATCACATTTTTTAATGGTTGTCAGATTTCCAGCCTCCACGATGTTCCCAGGTAATTCATTCCACGTTCCCACCACCCTGAGTGAAAAAGGTTTTTCTCAATCCCCTCTGAATTTCCTGCCCTTTACCCTAAAACTATGCCCCCTCGTGAGTGACCCCTCAACCCTACTTACCCTGTCTATACCTTTCATAATCTATACTTCTCAATCATGTGACCCCCTTAGCCTTCTCTGCCTTAAAGAAAACAATCCAAGCCTATCTAGTCTCACTTCATTGCTCAATTTCTCCAGGCAACATCCTGGTGAACTTCCTCTGTACCTCCTCTAGTGCTAACACATTCTTCCTGTAGTGTG